ACCCCCAACGTGGGGAAGCTCCTGGATTAACACACTGATGGAGGCAGGGTGGGGGGAAGTGAATGCTCACTTCTGCAGCAGAGGAAGAGGAGTGAGAAAACCCCAGCTACAACAGAAAAAAAGAAGCCTCATCCTCACCCTGACGCCCCCAGGCCAGCCTCTTCCCTGCCCCTACAACCTGCTTTGAATTTGTCATCCTGCTGGGGGGAAAAGGGATGTGCAAGCCCTTTGGGGAAAGGGCAACAAGTATCCTGTGGTTTGGGATGGTCATGCCTAGCCCCAGCTCCGGAGGAATTTTCCCTTCCTGTTTTGGAGGTAGCCACCTGAACCTCCACACTCCCTGCAGGGATGGGACCCTTGGCATCCTGCGCTAAGAGTGGGGAACCCCTTTGGAAAAGCCACCCTGGGGTCCCAGGCCAGGGTAGCAAAGGTAGCCCACGTGCTTTTGGTTGGGAAGGGCAGCCCAGCATGGGGTGACAGGCAGAGCTGTTGCCAGAGCCCTCCGTTTCCCTCCAGCAGGACCAGGCTCTAAAGTGCAGTGACCCATCTGCATGGATGTGGTGCTCTGGCCGGCCGAGGTGGTGGGCTCCTCCTTCCCAGAGGTAGATGGGGCAGGTGGGAATTGCCTCCTTTGGGAAGACATGGTGGGCTGTCCAGCCAGCGCTCAGGGGAGGAGCAGTTTAAGCGGCAGGGGAGGGCAAAGTAGATGGCTGGGGGAGGGTGGGGAGCGAGGGCGAGAGCTCTGCTGCCAGCACAAACCAGGGATGACCAGGGAAGGCATCTCCAGAACCACAGCCCACCACACCAAGGCTCTCCCCTGCTAGGGGGAGGCATTGGCCAGGGGCCAGGACTCAACTTACGGGATTTTTGTGATGTAAATAGAAATAAATACTTTATAAATATAATCTTGAAGTACTGACTGATCTTACTCTGCTGTCTCTTGCAGAAACATCAGTAAACTAGGAGATCCCCACACCTAAATTACCACTTTCCCTTTGCCTGGGGGCAATTCCTCCTGCTCTCCCACCTCCGAGCTTTACTGCACTCCCACCTCTGTAGATCAAAGACCAGCTTTTAGCTGAAACCATCCTCCTCACTCCCTCCCCTCTGCTGGGGACCTTTGTGGAGCATTAGAAGGAGTGACATGAAGGTCACCCATGGGGGGGAAGGGCAGAAGATGGCACGTGCGCAAGGAATCCTGCCCAGGCAGGTCCAGACTTTTGCAGCTACAAACAGAAGTGAGTTTCCCCTGTGAAGGTGTGAATCGAGACAGATCCTTCCATGGAGCAGAGAGCTGGGGCAGCAGATGGTGTGAGAGATCAGACGTTAACATGGGGAGTCTTCAGACAGAATCAGCTATTTTGATCCTGTTGGCAGACGGATGAGGTGAAGGGTGTTTTTCAGGTTAGATTCTCATCTGGGCTGTTCTCCTTCTGGACAGCTTGGATCTGATTTGGAAAACAAGGGACAAAAGGTGTTAAGAGATGTGGACAAGGAGGTGGAGTGTGGACTCCCAGGTTCAGTGTCCCGTCTCCAGGCTGAGCTGGAGGGACACAGGATTAATGTCTCTTCAGCCAGAGCACACACATTTCTGTGCATTTATTCCCACTCCCCTAGTCCTATCATGTAAGATGCTCTTCAGAACTCCAGGAGATGCCCTTAAGAACTCCACGAGATGCTCTCAAGAACTCGTGAGATGGTCTTGTTGAGGAGTGAACACATTCAGTGCAGGTAGCTCGGTATGCAGCTGCAGTGTGAGCTGCAGATTGAACTCTGGGTGGCAGCAGCCTCTGACAAGAGGTCCTGAACGACCGACCCCTTCCATAACAAAGGACACAGGGACCTGTGGTTCAGCTAGGTGACCAGACACTGAGAGACACAGCAGGAGCCAAGGACCCCAGACTTTCACACCCTTAGACTGAAAGGGCATGAAAGCCCAGGGGTTCCTTTGCTCAGGGTCCTTCCTCGGAGCCACCAGCTCGAGCTGTTATTTTGTTATTGCACAATGATTACATTATTTTAAGGATTGAGATGTCTGAGATTCTGCTATGGGAAACCTGCTCTGACTGCCTGAGTGTGGTTTGTGTGGGGAGTCAAGCAGGGCACCCATCAGCTCACCAGAACCGCCCACTGTGAAGGGGCCTCAGTCCCAGCTCTCAGTGTGGGGGTGACTGCAAGAGCAGCTCCTGGATGGTCAGACAGGGAGGTTTCCTCACAGTCTCAAAAACTCAGTGAGAGGGCTGCAAGAACAGTGACAGGCCAGTGTCCCTGCCACCAGGCACGGATGTTGCTTTGAACTCAGCACAAGGATGCCTCTGTGCCAGCTGGGATCTGGCCCTAGATTGAAGCATTTAAATGGGGAGGAGCTGAAATCAAAAGCCAAGCTTTGCTGGCTCAGAGTCCGTCCAAGCACAGCTCTGCACAAGAGATGGTCCCCACACCTGGCTGTGGACTACGGCAGGGAAAGCACTGAGAGCAGGGCAGGGAGAATACTTGGCTGCCCACAGACCCCCCCATGGCTTCTCCACACCCTCCTGCCCCCAGCTACCCCTAGTACCTTATGGATCCAGCCAGGAGAGGGTTGAAGGCATACAGCCAGTCGTGCATGTCCTTGTCACTGCTCGCCTGCAGCAGGATGCCCCGGTGCTCCGTGCACACCGCAAACGTGTTCGGGGTCTGCTGGGGAGAGCCAGGGCTGAGTCCCCTGGACCGGGAGGGGCATGCAGAGGGGCTGGCTCCTGGTGCCCTACCTTGAGCATGGCCTGCTGGTCCTCACTGTATTCCACCTGGGCCTTGGAGAGGTTGAGTATGGCCCTCTCAACGGCATCTTTGTCCGAGTTGTAGATGTAGACGTAGGGGCGCCTAACCACCACGAAGCGCTTCACCCACCCGTTGGTGTGGGGTTCCAGGAAGTGCAGGTAGCCCTTCTTGGAGACGATGGGGCTGCAGAAGGGACCGAGGTCAGCGTGGGATATAGACCACAAGGAGCTGGCAATGGCAGGTTATGGTACCCCCATGCCCATAGGTGCTCCCCTGACTGGCTGCCCCAGTCTCTCTCACCTGACTCGGATCTCCTGGATGTCAGGCACCAGCAAACGCTGGGGCTCCTTCTCCTCTTCAGGCCGGCGGGCTGGGGACTTCTTTTGCTCTCCTTCTACCAGAGGTTCCAGGTCAGGGCTCTCTGCCCTGGAGGAGACCTGGGCGGGCCTGGGGAAGGAGGAGAGACTGGAGTGTAGGAAGAGGGATGGCTAGGCAACATCCATTGTCCAGGACAGTCTCCCAGAGATACAGCTGCTTGGGGGACGACAGGCAACTTCTTACCTGACCTCCATGGCATTGCAACGCCCTTCCACCAGTGAGGGGCAGGTTGAGGAGGGGGTGAGAGTGGTTACTCCAAGAACTGGCATGGAGGGGTCTCTCATCAAGGTCACGGACATTTCGGACAGCTGTGGAGGAATGGAGGTGTGGACTAGCGTTTCTCCACAAAGCCAGGCACAGGCAAAGGACCAGGCTTCTGTCCATATGAGGAGAGGAGAGACACCCAGCCAGCAGAGTTCTCTCCTGGCACAGTTCTGAGAGCCACCAGCTCCGGGAACCCCAGGGCAGGCAGAGGGAGCAGAGACCTCAGGAGCAGGGATGACTAATGCCATAGTGCCCACCTGGCCCCTGCCCAGCCACACATCCCTCCCAGCTCCCACTGGCCCAGCAGAGCCCGGGACAGCAGTACCTTGCTCTCGCTGGCGCTAATGCAGACGTGGCTGTGGCTGTACTCCCTGTTGAAGGTGTGCGTGAGCAGACGCAAGCACTGCAGAGAGAGGAAGAGTATGGTGGGGCATGAGGCACCTTCCTCCTCCCACCCCACTTGGACTTTCTCCTGCCAAACCCCCCCACTCCCTGGCTTCATCCCTGGAAGCTGGGGATGCTGTAGGATGGTACCTTCACGGCCAGCTCCTTCTGCCTTTCACTGGGGGTCTCAGCAGGAGAGGTGCGGCCCTCAGGGGCTCCATCAGCAGAGAGTGGGGAGGAGACACAGGAAGCGCTTCGGGACTCGGAGTCCTCACTGGAGCAGGGGGACAGAGTGTCCAGGCCCAGGCGCTGCGTCGTCTCAAGCTTCTCGCGCAGCAGCAGGTAGTGCCTTGTCTTCTCCACCTGGGCACAGTCAGCCAGGCTTAGGGGTGGCCACTTCCCCCCTGCCCAGCCCTTCTTAACCCCACCTGCTCTACAGCTTTAGGTCTGCTGAGACCGGGCTAGCAGCGATGCACAGGAGCACTGGCAGCACAGCCCTGCTCCTGCCTCCTCCCACAGCCAGGAGAGCTCGGGGCTGCTGAGCTGTGAATCGCACAGTTTCAGCCTGTTTCTAGCCCAGGCTCTTACTTCTTGCAGCAGGCTGAGTTTCTCCAGCTCCCACTGGTGGTCGAGGATGAGGCTGTCGCTGCGGGGCCGCCAGCCCGCCAGGTTCTCCTCTCCCCGCACATAGGCTACCGAGGTGTCCAGCACACGCCGGCGCCGCCGCTGCATGCCTGGAGGCACAGACACACAGCTGGGGACAAACGCACAGCCCCAACCCTAATGCCCAGCGGTGCCTCCCGGGTCCAGATAACACCTGGGCAGAGGCACAGCACCCACCTGGGCTGCCAGCATCAGCCACACGGCACAGGCTGAGCTCGTAGACTCCTGTCACACGGTTGCTGTGAGCAAAGAGAGATGAAGTGTCACAGGCTCTGCCCCATCCCCACAACCCGCTGATTTCACCCAGGCTTCTGGGATGCCCTGGGAGAGCTCCCAGTCCCTGGGTGATGGGTCTCCTCCCTGTGAAAGACAGGAGCGCCCTGGTACCTCTCCGAAGCTCGCAGGCTGCCGCTGCCGAAGAGGTTGCGGATGGAGCGGGAGGCAGGAAGCTTGGCGTCCCGAGAATAGAAAACCATGCAGAAGTCTTTGGTGATGACAGCAGGCTGAGTGCAGTTCTCCATCTGCAGCAGGGCAGGGGCAGGCGTCAGTGGACTGCAGGGTGGCAGTCAAGCACATCTGTGCCCAGCAGTTTCCACTTCCCAGAGGGCCCCCAAGCACCAGGTTGAACCCTGCACCCAGTAAGTGCTGGCTAAGGAGGGGTTCATGCTGGCTGAACCCTGATGGGAAAAACCAGACTTTACTGGCATGTAACAACCCCAGCCAAGGTCCTTGCCTCGATGTAGGCTGACAGAGTGATGTAGATCTTCTCCCGATACGGAGTGACACGGTTGAGCAGCAGCGAGTTGTGCATAGAGCTATCCCACGCTGCCTCAAACTGGTAGAAAGTCCTGCCGAGAAAACAAGGGAGCTGGTGAGATGACCGCCCTGGAATCCTCGGCAGGTGAGCAAGGAGATGCCATCATCCCCCCTGCAGCGCTGCGCAGGCCTGCAAGGACACACGGACATGCATGCGCAGCAGGGACAGACGGGGACAGCCACGCCAGAGGACACAGCTCAAGGCAAAGGGCACAAGGCGTGGTGGGAGGGAGACATGGCACCCTTGAAATGGCCGATGGACTGGAATTTCAGGGAGGAGGGACCATGGGAAGAGTGGGGGCTCAGCTGGGGTGCAGGCAAGGCAGAGCAGGCTGGGAAGGCAAAGGAGGGCAAAGGAGGGTTCATGCCCCACCCCGTGCTCAGAGCAGGGGGCTGCCACCCCCAGTGTGCCTGGGCCAGTCCCACTGTCCAGCCTGGGACACAGAGCCCCCTCTGGCCCTGCTTGCGCCCCACCCGAAGCAGCCGTTGCCACTCAGGTGAAGATGGCCAGAAGGGAAAGGAAGGAGGATGTTCAGCACTGGGGGGTGCTGCCAGCCCACCCCTGGGAGCACAGCCCCCCCACTCAGGTGCCACTCCCCAGGGCTACCTGTGTGCCAGCCCTGGGCCACAGCGAGAAGCCAGGGACCATGACTTGGTGGCTGGGCCCTGTAAGGCTGTCTCCCCTGGCTCCTACTCTGCCCTGACCGCCAGCCCCAGTCCCACCCTGCTGCCTCAGGCCCCTAGCTCTGTTTTCCATGGCTCCCAGGCTGGGAGGAGGAGCAGGGGAGCCCACTCACCCATGCCTAAGGGTTTCCACAGAGGATGGCACAGCCACCCTGAGCAAGAGTGGCAGCTACCCTCCTTGGGTCAAGCAACCGAGGGTGGGGGAAGCAGGAGGAGGCTCCGGTGCTAGAGCATGGAGGATCCCCATTTCACCCCCTGCCCTGCTCCTAGGCTCCCTCCCAGACCAGCCTTGGCTTTATGGGACACTCACTCCCCAAGGCCACCTAGAGCCGCCGTGGCCCCAGCTCCTGCCTGAGCATCCTCAGGAAGCTGTGGCTCAGCCATGTCTCAAGGAGGACACTTCAGCACGTCCCCAGAGCAGCATCCAGGAGGCTGAGGGGCAATTTTAATGAGAGCTGGAGCAGCCAGTGGGAGCAGGGAGAGGCTCTAGACTGCAATTGCCCACACATCGGAAGAAGAGGGAGAGTGATGCTTTCAGAAGGTGTATAAAATACATTAACCCCCGTGTTGAGACAGAGCCAAGGCGAAGGATTGCTTTGCAGACACAGGTTGCTTTAGATGAGAGCGCTTTCCAAGGAGGAGGAAAAGAGGACCCTCAGGGAGGGGGGAAGGAGCAAAAAGCAAAGGGAGGAGACAAAGGGGAAAGAGAGAAAAGCAGGAGGGACCAGACCGAGCAGGTGCGCGTGAAATACCTAGTGTCATTTCCCAACGAAATGCTTTAAGTGGAAGGCGACCCAAGGACAAACACACACACGTACACACACAGAAAAATGACAGGTCAGAAGAGCCCCTCACCCTGTATTAGCACCGCTGGCCAAGGGAGCTCCTGCCTAGCTGGACCCCAAATGGGAACCCAGAAGGAGCTTGGCGAGGGCAGACAGAGGCTTACCCACCTGGGTGAAAACTCTCTGCCTCCCACTTTCTTCACAGTCCAGCATCTGGGAAGCAAGCACATGTGCTTCCTACCCCCTTAGCTCTGCCCTCATGCCATCCCAGGGCAAGAACTGCCAACCCAGCACAGTCCCCTGGGATGGTGCCAGTTGCAAGGGACCAGCTGTCCCACCCCCACACACGCAGCAGGTGATTTCTTGGCCCATCCCCTGGTCTTCAGGGAGAGCATCACTGTGCTGAGAGACCACGGGCAGCGCTAGTGTGAGCCCACCTCTCCTGCAGTGGCGGGGCTGTATCCATGCTGTACCCATCCCCCTGCACCCTGCCAGGGACAGGGTACTGCCAGAGGGACAGCTCTGCCCTTGGATATCTCTGAGAACCAACTTTGAGCTGTGGCAGGGAGGACAACCTCCCAGGCACAAAGTTATGGAGCCCACCAGGGCTCAGGACATCCCCTCCTTTGTCTCCCAGACACATCACCCTCTTCTTCCGCCGCGGGGCACAGAGATGGGACAGCCCCTCCCTCCTCCAGGGGCAATGCTCCTGTCCGGAGGCTGGTGGCACTCCCCTGGGCCTGGCGGGTCTCCCCCACACGCCGCACACCAGGCTCACAGCACGGCCCCCGTGAGCCCCAGTCCCCAAACTGCCACTTGCACTGGGGTACCTGCCACGTGTGGGGTGTGCACCCACAGCTGCAGTTGTGTACAGACACACTGCCCGTATGCCACACCTACAGCTACACCTACAGCCGCGCACGGGGTGGGCAGCGCTGCCACACCAATGCCGCCGGGCTGGGGCGCCCCAAAACTCCCCGGCAGTCACGCCGCCCTGCAACAACTCCGAGGAGCACCAGGGCCAAACTGGGGCTGGGGTGGGAGACAGCAAGGGTCTGGCACACTCAGTGCCAGATGCCAGAGAGATGGGAGAGTAGCGAAGTGAAAAAGCAAGAATAAACCCCAGATCAGGCAACGGGGACGCAGGCGTGCGAGGGGGAGCGGCAGCCAGCCAGAGCGTGGCTCAGACGAACAGCAGAAGGGGCTGAGTGAGCAAGAGGTGCCAGGGCAGGAGGGAGGAGGGATGGGGCGTGTGGAGGGATGACAGGCTGGATGTCCAAGTGCTGCCTCTGGCAGGAGTGAGCGTGCCGAGGCGAGGGGGTAGAAAGAAAGAAAGAAGGGAGAGAGGAAGGGGAAGTGTGAAAATAAAACCAATGGAAACAAATAATACCTAGGCATATCCGAATCAAGAAACTGCCTGCGAAAACACAAAACAATTACATGGTTAGTGTGGGCTCAGATGGGCTGCAGCAGCTGAGGGAAGCGAGGGGGACCCTGGGCACTGCTCCCCGTGCCTGCTCGCTGGGCGCTCGGTGCGGAGATGGAGGGAGCAGGACGGCTCTCCCAGCCTCTTCCGGAGCAGCCCCGGGGGGCTGGGAGAGCTGCAGCGCGGGAGCTGGGGCTGCTCCAGGCGATGGAGGCTGCATGACACAAGAAAGCAAAGCGGGGAGCACAAGCGGTGAAGTGGGCACTGGCTCTGCCCACTGCCTTCCCCCTGCCTGTCCTTGCACCTGCGGAGCGAAGCATGTGCATCTGCATGCGGGGTGGAAACGGGGGCACTGTGGCTAGTGCCTCATGGGCAGCTGGCCGCCCCCTCCTCCCTGCCCAACCACGGGCAGGCTCCATGGGATGGATATGGGATGGATACGGCATGCGCGCCAGCCTGCCCCCAAATCGGGGCTGCCCCTGAGGCACAGACCCTCTGAGCGTGCCGGTGCAAAATCCGAGCCCCTCATCTCCCTGCTTCTCTCCACAAACATCCCCCCAACCCCAGATGTGTCCCCTTGTCCTCCAGGACCTGTGGGGCAGAAGGCGGGCAGGAGGCACATCCTTCCTGCCAGGCTACCCTAAAGATGCTGAAGATCCCATCTGGCTGCATCCGGGATCAACTGGCCAGACCAGGAGCTGACACAAGACAGCACAGCCCCAGGAGCCCACAGGCGCCACAATAACCCAGCTCCCAGCAAAAATACCATCGCTGCACCACCAGGCCAGGCTCTCCTTGCCTGCCCATCCCCATCTGGCCTCCTTCTGCATCCCCAAGGCTGTAACAGTCTTCAGATCTGAGACTCGCATGCATGCTGACCCCAGGACTCAGCTCTGCTGCCCAGGTACTGTATTCCTGTCACTCTGCCATGTCCAGAAGCTGCCCCATGGAGTGCTCAAGGTAGCACCTCCCATCCAGAACCCCCATCATTCTCCCCAACACCACCTGCCTTGGGCCAGGCCCTCTTGTGTCAATGTTGATCACAAAGAAAACATGGGGAAAAGCGGTCCCCATTCCTTGCCAGGATGCTCCTACACCAGCAACCACCATATGCACGGCCAAGGATTAGTCTTGCTGCTCCCTGTGCTGGCAACGACCATCCCTGTCTTGACGTGGCTGCCCACAACACACGTTCTTGGCCAGAGACCCCCGCCAGTCCCCCGAGTCTCACCAGCAGCCCTGCTGCAGAGAAGAACTCTGCCTTCCACACCCACTACTCCCCCTGCCACCGCCGGACCCAGCCAGGGAGATCGTACCAGGGAGATCGTGGAGATAAAAAACCTTCCAGCCCTGCTGCTTTCACACCCTGCCAAACCTACGGCAGGGACACCTCCAAGCAACCTGACCTAGTGGAAGGTGTCCCTACCTGTAGCAGGGGGGCTGGAAGATGATGATCTTTGAGGTCTCTTCCAACCCAAACCACTCTGTGGTTCTACGATTCAGTGACACGACTGCCTGGGACAAGCAGGAAGGGGAGGCATTCCCAAAGTCACACGTGCCAATGGGGAATGGCTTTCCTGCATCACTCCCACACAAACAGGGACCTGCCAAGGGGCCTTTCCAGCAAGTTTGCTGGGACATGGGACAAACAGCGCTTTGCGGCAGGTCCCCCCCAGCTGCAGAGTGTAGACATCCTCCCCATACAAGCCCCAGCTGGCTCCCTGTGCCAGGCAGTCATTAGCTGGCACCAGAGAGCAGGACCCTGACACAAACTCCCTGCAGTGAGTGCCCTACCCAGCATGGCAAGGCCCTGGGGAGGAGGAGGAAGGGGGCTGACAGCCCTGAACCACAAGACCCTCTGCAGCTCCAGAAAAATCCTGACTCAGGGCAGAAATGGGTCAGCAGGACCCTGCAGAGGGGCCAAGAGCCTTCCAGGGGAGCAAGGGGCTACTCATGTCCCACTCCATCCCTTACCACAGTGAGGGAAGGGCAGGAAAAGAAGCATCACGCACCGGTCATCCTGAGACGGGTGGATGTAGCCAGAGGAGAGGATGTTGAGGGACAGGATGTTGGGGTCAATGAGCGACTCATCTGCTTCTGGGGTGTTCCGGATTCGACCTGCAAACACAGCACGGGGACAGGTCTTAGGTGACAGGCAGTGGCCCGGTGAGGGTCCCTGTGAGGGCAGGGGCAGCCTGCCTGCCTGCCACCCTCCTGTCAGAGGCAGCAGTCGCCCAGTGCTTGGCCACTCTGCACTGGAGATCTTGGTCCAGCTCTTGGACACGATGGCAGGGTCAGGGCGTCCTGCCCACAGTGTCCCAGTGGGACCTGCTGGGCAGCTGCTGCTTACTATTGCAGAGCAGGAGGGGAGATGAGGCAAAAAGCCGCACGTGGGAACATAGAACACGGGAACATGGGTGAAAAAGAGCCCCAAGAGGACGCGTGGAAGCTTGGTGGGCTGGGGTCTGGCTTGGCTTACCCACAACTAGCTCCCTGACTTCCTTCCAGCGGATGAGGCTGCCTGTTTCGTGCACCAAGGTGACGGTGATTCTCCTCTGGATGCCCTGAGACCCGTGAGGCCAGAGAGAAGGGACAGTGGTTAACACAGGTCCCAGCAGGAGTCAGAGCCAGGACAGCATCTTGGGGAGAGAGTACCTGGTGCAGGAGGAAGGTCCCATGGCACGGCATCCCTCCACGGTGGTCCACAACAGCAGGGATGTAGCTGGAAGAGAGGACAGTAGTGTGACAGTCCTGCCAGCCTGCCCAGAGGTGCAGAGCACTGGGCAAATCTTCCACTGCCTCCCTCTCCTCTCCCTCCCACTCCCCTTCCTGGCAGGACTTACTCGCCATTGGCCTCCAGCTCACAGATCTCGAAGAAGACCATCAAGTCATACTTGCACTGGCAGGGGCCAGCACTGGGCCGAGTCATGGTGCTCAGCTTCGTCGCAGGCACTGCAGCAGGTCAGAGAGACAGCTAAGGGGGTGAGCTTGCCACTGGCAGTGGGAGTGAGGCACGTGGCAGCAGAGAAGGGGCAGAGCAGGCAGGGACCGCAGGGACACATGCAGAGACTGCAGAAGAACCTCATCCCAGGGACCTGCTGACCACTGGATTGCCTTCTCCCCCCCCAGCATGGGGCAGCAGGCATGTCAGCATGTGGCCTCACCCCCCCGAGGATGCACAGTGTGAACCTGCAGCCTTGGCACAGACACATCCCAAACCACACAGCATGCTCAGGGACAGCCCAGGGAGGCTCCCTCAGTGCTGGTGTGCCCACTGCACAGCCAAACCCCAGCGACTGCAGCCTCAGCAGCCAGTGCAGAGTGGGGACCCTGCCACCCCGGGGGCAGGGCTGGGTGGCCATCTGAGCCCCCCAGGGCGAGGAGCCTCCCCTTGCTGCTACAGGAGATGGGATGGGGCCTGCATCTGGCAAGTGTTGCAGGAATGGGTGCCAAGGGCTTTCAAGTGCTCTGGCCCACAGAACGTTTTGTAGTGCCCCTAGAGTGCTAACTGATCCCTCTGGGGAAGGGACCCCACACCCAGCACAGGCTATGGGTGGGCACAGGAGCAGGAGGCCACGTTCCCTACCTGGTTTGGAGAGCGGCATCACACGGGGGAAGTGGCGCCGGGACGGCCTCAATGGGCTGCAGACAGAACCGCTTGGTTAAAGCAGCCCCAGGGAGCCCCAGACACGGCCAATTTCACCTATGCCCCAGGGCCACCCCCTACCACCTGACCCTTCCTCTGGGTCCCCAGGCAGCCTGGTGTGCCCACCTCAGGACGTCCTTGCAGAGGGGTGGGAAGGGGTGCTGCTGGTAGTGCCCAAACACCTCAAACACAATCGGCTGGCTCTTGATGTATTCGATGAAGGATTTGGTCACCTCCACGGCAATCTAGAAAGGAAAGAGCCGCCGACAGCGCAGCTTAGCTGGGAAAGAGGATGCAGGCAGCGCCCAGGGAGGGTGCAAGCCTGCCGGTCCCCTGCATCTCTCATCCATCCCTGCCCCCACACCTCAGGGATGCTCTCCCCACAAAGACCACTGCTGTGAAATCCCAGCCCTTTCAGGTGGAGGAGGGCTTAGCTGAGTGGCTGTCAGGGGCTGGAAAAGCCAGGTGGAAGCTGCC